CTATTTGGTTTCAAGGCCTGGGAACAGACTGTTCCACCAGATTGGAACTCCAATCTGGGTTCCACCCTCTGGGTTCTCAACTCCACCCTCTGAGTCATCCTTCCTTTTTCATGAAAGATAGCCTGTGTTTTCAGCTCATTCCTTTAATCAGCCTATTCCTTGCCTACAGAACTTTGGATTCACCACACACACACACACACACACACACACACACACACGCACCTCCCTACCTCCCGCTTACATTTTATCTTTTCTTCTTGTCTTTTGGTCCAAGCTGCCAGTGTTTCTGTCGGGCTCAACAGGAAAGCAGAACTGGAACAAGATATATATTAAGAATTTTGTTGTAAAGAATTGTCTTACCTACTGTAGGGGCTGATTAGGCAAGTCCAGAATCTATACGGCAGCCCTTTAGGAAGGATAGACCAGAACTCTCAAGCATGAGCCACAGCTACTGTGCTTGACTAGCATTTTCTTCTTCATTAAGGAGGCATCAGTTCTACTCTTCAGGCCTTTAAACTGATCAAATTGGGCCCACCCAGATTATCTAGGATAATCTCCCTCACTTCAAGACAACCGATTATGGACTTTAGTCATATCTGCTAAATACCTTCAGAGCAACATCTAGATTAGTGTTAATAATACCCAGAGACTAGCTTTGCCTAGATGACACCTCAAAAGATGCAGAGTGACTAACGCTCTGAATTGCCCTATTTGCTTTTCAAATCATTGCTCCAAAAGAACACGAGATCCTCTGCTCTTTCTGAACTTTTCATTAGGAAGGGGTAAAAACTTCTACTACTTGCAGATATAACCTAGAGCAGTTTTCAGTGATAACATTCAACTGACAAAGATGAAAATGAAGTTGAGCATGGTTTCAGGCTGCTTTCAAGTTCAGCACAATATTAGAGAGATGCCATTTTGTATGGCTCCAGGGAATAAAAATGAGAGAGAATACCCAGAAGACAGAGGGAAAGAATGCTTTCAGCTCAGTTAATGAAGAGCATTATGGCAATTGTTTTTCCTATGGCACATCCAAAGATGAAATGGATATGTACAAACAATGACTGGGGACACTTGGTATAGCTGCTGTACAGGAGATTAAGGCTGGGAGGGGATGTATGATTGACCCAGATAATTTTTAGGTTTATCACTGTAAATTCATGATTCTAATGTTGGAGAAACTGATGAAGTCTTTCAAAATCAGCCCTGAATTATATGACCAAAGTCATCCAAAACCAAACCAAAAATTTTCAAGGCCATTTAGAAATATTCAACAGATGGGAGTAGGGAATGAGTTTTCAAATAAGAACTGCTTTAACCTGATTGAAGATTTTTGCTTCTATCTTTATATCCTCTGTTCTTTATTTTTAGAAATTAAATAATATACATAAGACAATGGAACTCAGATACTTCATTGTTTTCTTATTTATTTTTTTCTCAGATAAAGCTGTAACTATTGTTAGAAAGTACAATTAGGTATTTCAGAATTAATTTAGTATTTTGATCTATTTTGCAAAAAATTAGAAGTCAGCATAAATTCAATGATTACAAGTTTAAATTATGAAGACTGGGATGCTTGGGTGGCTCAGCGGTTGGTCGAACGTCTGCCTTCGGCTCAGAGCAACATATCTTGGGATCCAGGATGAAGTCCCATATTGGGCTCCCTGTGAGGAGCCAGCTTCTCCCTCTGTCTATGTCTCTGTCTCTGTCTCTCTCTGTGTCTCTCATGAATAAATAAATAAATCTTTAAAAAAATAAATAAATTATGAAGACTAATTCATAAATTTTGAAGAGATTATGCTTTTTCCTGAAATTCCTATAAATAATTTGGGTGAAGCCAAGTGTAGTATAATTGGCTTAGATGGTGAAATATAACATTGAGGCAAAATAATGAGAAATAATGAAGCAAATAGGTAAATGTTGTTATTATTATAGGATATCTGTAGAATTATATTTTCAGAAACTCTATAAATTGGATACTGGCCATGTTTTTCTTTTGCAGTGAAATTAAAAGTAATAATTAGCTATTATATTCGAGTAATTTCAGTAATGAGACATTTTCTAAATCATTCTAGAAAAATATTATTCAAAACAAATGGCAGATACCCTGTTTTCACTGAGAGTTATGTGCATTATTAAGAAGCTTATCAACAGAGTGTGAATCATGAAACTAACTCGAATTACTATGAAAGGCATTATAAATTTCACTTACACACACAGAGTGATAGAAAAGAGTGCATGTTCCAGGAAATTAAAACTTCCTTGTTTTCCAAAATGTGTTAGCTTTCCTTGTGTGTCTTTTAGAGTTAACGTTTCACCAGCAGTCATTTTCCTGTATTTGGTTTGGCAGCTGATGGATCACTTGAAAGCTGGAATTGAAGATGTGTGTGGGCAATGGAGCCACTACCAAGTGAGAGACAAGTAAGGAGGCCAAGGGTTTCACTGCCTGGGATGGTTATTTGTGACATGAGGAACCTGAAAATGTTACATTGAAAACTGAGCATAAGACTAGAAAGAATCCAGAGGAACAGGACCAGGAATATGAAGGGCCTGGGAACCATGGCAGAGAAGAGGCAGGTGGAAGCCATGCAAAATGGAAAGCTGCAAAATGGAAAGCTTTTTTGGGGGGGAGGGGGTGGTAGTGGTGCTATAGACTTGGGCTAGGTTGCATCAGAGAGAACTAGTGCAACATTCAGATTGAAATTTTCAGATCTAAATTTAAAACAAGGACAAGTTTCCCAATGAAAAGAGAAGCTCAACCATAGAATGACCGGGAATTTGGTGAATCATCAGGGATCCTGGGGAAGATAGTCCTCCACTGGGGAGGGAGGCTGCAGTGGAAGACCTTCAAGGATCCTTTCTATATAATGATTCTATAAGAATGCCAAAATCCCTTTTCTCCACCACATCTCTGATTTCAGAACATATTCTCTCCCTGAATTTTAGTCTACAGCATGTTTCTTAAGTAGCCCTGAGGAGAGTTTCCTTCAAGATAAGGAAGATGAGAGTTTGGGAGTTAAAGACAGCTATTAAGCAAACATAGGAGTTAGGAATAGTTGAGTTAACCAAATGGTAAAAGTTTTCTCTCTAAAGCTTGCCCACATATTGATGTTGATGATGCCGAGAGAAACTAGGTCTTTAAAAGTCTAGCTGTCGAGGCAGGTAGTGGCACCTAAATGAGAAACTGAGAGCTTTGGGTGGCCTTTTAAAATTTTATTTTACTTTTTATTTATTTGTGTGTGTTTGTGTGTGTGTAATCTATTTTTAAATTTTAATTCCAGTTAGTTAGCATGCAGTGTTATATTAGTTTCAGGTGTACATTATAGTGATTCAGCACTTCCCTACATCACCCAGTGCTCATCACAAGTGCACTCCTTAATCCTCATCACCTATTTCACCCATCCTCCCACCAACTTCCCCTCTGGTAACCATCAGTTTGTTTTCAATAGTTAAGAGTTTGTTTCTTGGTTTCTCTCTTTTTTTTTTCCTTTTTCCCTTTATTTTCTTTCTTAAATTCTACCAGTGGATGAAAGCATAGGGTATCTGTATTTCTCTGACATTTCACTTAGCATTATACTCTCTAGCTTCATCCATGTTGTTGCAAATAGCAAGATTTCATTTCGTATATGTATACCACATCTTCTTTATCCTTTCATCTATAGATGGGCACCTGGGCTGCTTCCATAGTTTGGCTATTGTAAATAATGCTGCTATAAACATAGGGCTTCATGTATCCCTTTGAATTAGTGTTTTTGCATTTTGGGGGTAAATGCCCAGTAGTAAAATTCCTGGATTGTAGGGTAGTCTTATTTTTAACTTTTTAAGGAACTTCCACTGTGTTTTCCACAGTTGCTGCACCAATTTGTAATTTGAGTGGGCTCTTTCTATGAGATAAAAAGACAGTTTTAGCAGTCCTCATTGTGTTAAAATAGAATGCTTAAATTATGTAAATGTCTACCAACCTAGAACCTAGGTCATGGATTTTTTTAAAGTCTAAATCCTTTAGTTTTCTGAGTGAAAAATCACTTGATATTATTCCGTTTAGCCAAACTTATACCAAATTTGCTAGACACTAAGGAAGAGCAGTAAGGTACACTTAATGCATTCTAGGTCCTCACAATATAGTAGACAAGGTCCTGGGGGAAAAAAGAGAGAAAGAGCCTGAATGAGTAATGATGATCCATATAAGAAATGCTATAACAGAGGTAAATTCATGGAACTATAATAGTACTGAAAGGAGAGTATATTTTGAAAATAAATGAGGAGTTCTCCAGGCAAAGAAGAATAGAAAACATGCCAAGCAGCAGCAGTGACAGCAAGATATTTCAAAATGCAAAGGCAAGAAAGAGCACAGCATGGTTTGAACACAGAAAGAGAGAGAGACATGGTGAGACAAGACGTTGAAAAGACAGAGATATGGGCAGCCCCGGTGGTTTGAGGCCGCCTTCAGCTCGGGGTATGATCCTGAAGACCCGGGATCGAGTACCACGTCGGGCTCCCTGCATGGAGCCTGCTTCTCCCTCTGCCTGTGTCTCTGCCCCGGTGGTTTGAGGCCGCCTTCAGCTCGGGGTATGATCCTGAAGACCCGGGATCGAGTACCACGTCGGGCTCCCTGCATGGAGCCTGCTTCTCCCTCTGCCTGTGTCTCTGCCTCTCTCTCAGTGTGTGTCTGTCATGAATAAATAAATAAAATCTTAAAAAAAAAAGACAGGGATATGCTTCTATTCTGTAGTGCTAATGGCTATAAAGCCATTAATGCTATTAAATTCAGCTTGACCTTTAATACTCAGATCAAAAGATTTTTAAGTAGAAGAGTAGTGGAAACAGTTGACAAAACCTAAAGACAACCTACAGAATGGGAGATGATATTTGCAAATGTCATATCAGATAAAGGACTACTATCCAGTTTAGCCCGGGACTCAGACCCAGCCTCTCCCCTACCCGAACACCAGCCCCGGCTCCACCGAGGCCCCCGTCCCCAACCCTGCCTCGCTGCCGCCATGGCAGACCCCAAATACACTGACCTTCCCGGCATTGCCAGGAACGAGCCAGATGTTTATGGAACCAGCGACCTACCTGAGGATGATCAAGCAGAGTTTGATGCAGAGGAGCTGACGAGCACAAGTGTGGAGCACATCATTGTCAATTCCAATGCTGCCTATGACAAGTTCAAAGACAAGAGAGTGGGGACAAAGGGGCTTGATTTCTCAGATCGTATTGGAAAAAACAAGAGAACAGGATATGAATCTGGAGAATATGAGATGCTTGGAGAGGGTCTAGGAGTGAAGGAGACACCCCAGCAAAAATACCAGCGACTACTGCATGAGGTCCAAGAGCTGACAACTGAAGTTGAGAAAATCAAGACAATGGTGAAGGAGTCAGCCACTGAAGAGAAGCTGACCCCGGTGGTTTTGGCTAAGCAGCTGGCAGCCCTGAAGCAGCAGCTGGTTGCTTCCCACCTGGAGAAGCTGCTGGGACCAGATGCAGCTATCGACCTTACTGACCCTGATGGAGCTCTGGCTAAGTGCCTACTGCTGCAGCTGGAAGCAACAAAAAACAGCAAAGGAACTGGTTCAGGGGGAAAGACCACCAGTGGGACTCCCGTAGATAGTAACCTTGTCACTTATGAACTACATTCTCGACTTGAACAGGACAAGTTCTCTCAAGCTGCCAAAGTTGCAGAACTTGAGAAGCTCCTGATAGAGCTGGAAGCCACTGTACGCTGTGATCAGGACGCTCAGAATCCTCTTTCAGCAGGTCTACAGGGAGCCTGTCTTATGGAGACCATAGAACTGTTGCAAGCAAAGGTGAATGCCCTGACCTTGCAGTTCTGGACCAAGTGGAGGCTCGGCTGCAGAGTGTCCTGGGCAAGGTGAATGAGATTGCCAAGCATAAAGCTTCTGTAGAGGATGCAGATACACAAAGCAAGGTGCACCAGCTCTATGAAACCATACAGCGCTGGAGTCCCATCGCCTTCACCCTTCCTGAGCTGGTGCAGAGACTTGTCACCATCAAGCAGCTGCATGAGCAAGCCTTGCAGTTCAGTCAGCTCCTGACACACTTTGATACCACACAGCAGATGATCCCTAGCTCCCTCAAGGACAACACCGCCCTCCTGACCCAGGTGCAGACAACCATGCATGAGAACCTGTCCACAACTGAGGGGAATTTTGCCAACATCCATGAGTGGATGAAGCAGCTGGGAAAGTGAGCACCTTTAGGAGATGGAGAAGAGGGGTAAACTCTGCGCCTTTGAACTCTGTTAACAGCTTACATAGGGCTCCCCCTTCATTATAACTCTCGCATCCCCATCCCATTTGACACTGGGGTAAAGGGGTTCTTCTTGAATGTGGGATTTACACCCCTCCTCTGACGAATACAGAGTGGTAGCTGGGGGACTTTAGATGGTGGTCTCCCCTCAGGCCCTGGGGATGTGGGCCCAGCCACAAGGCAGCTCCTATCCAGTACTGCTTTGCCTGGGGTGGGGAAGGACTGTGTCCTGTCCTCCAGCACAGCTCCTGTGGCTGGCTGTACTACTATACAACTGTTTCTGACCATTAAATGCTGTTGTACTCTGAAAAATTAAAAAAAAAAGGACTAGTATCCAGGATCTGTAAAGAACTTATCAAACTCAACACCCAAAAAACAAATAAACCAGTCAAGAAATGAGCAGAAGACATGAATAGACATTTCTCTAAGGAAGACATACAAATGGCCAACAGACCCGTGAAAAGATGCTCAACATTACTGGGCATCCGGGAAATACAAATCAAAACCACAAAGCACAATGAGATATCCCCTCACACCAGTCAGAATGGCTAAAATTAGCAAGCCAGAAAATGACAAATATTGGTGACAAATATTGGTGACAAATATTCAATTGGTGAATATTGGCGGAGAAATGGGAACACTCTTACTCTGTTGATGGGAATGTAAATGGTTCAGCTACTCTGAAAAAAAGTATAGAAGATCCCCAAAAAGTTAAAAATAGAGCTACACTATGACCCAGCATTGAACTAGTAGGTATTTACCCAAAGGATACGAACATTGTGATCAGAAGGAGAACCTGTAGCCCGGTGTTTATAGCAGCAATATCCACAATAGCCAAACTATGGAAGGAGCCCAGTTGACCATTGACAGATGAATGGATAAAGAAAATGTGGTCTATATGTACAATGAAGTATTACTCAGCCTTTAAAAAGGATGAAATCTTACCATTTGCAATGACATGGATGGAACTGGAGGGTATTATGCTAAGTGAAATAAGTCAATCAGAAGAAGACAATTATCATATGGTTTCACTCATGTGGAATTTAAGAAACAAACAGGATCACAGGAGAAGGGAGAGAAAAAGAAAATAAGACAAAATCAGAGAGGGAGACAAACCATAAAAGGCTCTAAATCAAAGAAACAAACAGGGTTGCTAGAGGGGGTGCAGGAGGATATGGGGTAGCTCAGTGATGGGCATTAAGGAGAACACATGATGTAATCAGCACTGGGTATAATATGCAATTAATGAATAACTGAATTCTACATCCAAAACTAACCATACACTGTGTTAATTGATTGAATTGAAATAAAATAAGATAAATTAAAAATAAATGAATAAATAAATGGAGTAGCATGACCATATTTAGCTTTTAGAAGACAAACAACAGTGATGTGGAAGCTGAATTTGAGACAGATACTATGGGGCAGGAGATCTCTAAGGGATATCACATGGACTTAAGAATTTCATCCTAAAGTAATAAAATAAGCCTCAAGTACTATGTTAGCTCTTTCATATATTATATCATACATGATCTCCTGAATCTCCTGTGTTAGCACTGTTTTTCTCATTCTGAAGATGAAGAAACCAACTCTAGATCAACTAACCTACAGCAGAAACTTGATTGAATTCGGATCTGGCTTAAGAGTCTCTTCTGTTTTCAATGGACCACAGAGTTTTCAGAATCATAGGGATGAGGAACTAGCAGAAGGGGCACTGAAATATTTCTGAGGTGGACATGGTGACTGGCTCTGGGCATAGGAAGAGGAGAGTAAGGGAAGAGACAATAAGAATGACTCTCTGATTTCCAGATAGTGAGTCTAGGAGGATAACAATGCTATGGTAAAATGTATAGACTATAGAGGAGCATTCAGGTAAATAATACAAGGGTGTGAAGAGGGGAAGCCAGGTGAGGACAGGACTCAGAAGCTTCAGGTAAGGAAGAGAAAGAGCCTTTATTTGGAAGAAGCCTTTAGGGAGGCTGGAAGGGAAGCAGATGGGGATCAGGATGTGGAGGGCACAGATGAAATGACCTGGCGGCACATCAGGAGAAGCCAGGTGGCATGTAAGGCAGGGGCACCCTGCCTGGCACCCACTGGCATTGAACGGTAAAGGTCAAGGTGAGCTCAGTGTGAAGAGTGTCAGAGAAGTCCTGATGAGCAACAACAGTGGATTGAGGAATAAACAGGAACAACAGCCTCTCATGAAGAAAGGCAGAAAACAAGAAGGCTGACGGGTTGACCCATTTGGAGCAAGAGCAGGCCTGGGATGAGCTGAACATGAATCATAGGGAATCACAGCCTGCTAACCCTGGAGGAGACTTGACTGATAGAGTGTCTGTCTGCCTCACAGACCAGGAAACCAATCACCAGATAATAAGCCAACAGCCCTGGGAGTTATGTTCCCCTCCAAAAAATAAAGCAGGCACACATATTACTCTTTGAATGTAAAATGATTGGAAGTATTGAAAATTCCTACTCCAAACAAATGGCCGACTCTGAAGGCACCATGTGCATATGTGCAGCTCAGTCTAATGGGTCAGCCAGAGGTTTGCTACAATAGTCAGCGGCCATCAGTGTCTAGCCTATTCAGATTCTCCATCATTCAGACTGTCAGGATATATGGGTTCTCCCCCCACCCCTTAATTGTCAGGATTCAAAATGATCTGCAGCACAATGGGCAAAACTACTGTAACTACTGGGCCATTTAAATTTATTGGGTTCTGGTTGAATAGGCCAGTATTACTGTAAGTGCAGCTGCCACTGTTAGGAGCTATTAGAATGGAACATTTGTTCAAAAGCCTCAACCCCTCATTTCTTCTCATACAATTGGAGCTGAGCTGGGCTGGGCCTCCCCCGCTCCCCACTTATGCATACTTTCTGCCCTGATTGCAGCTTGTCCCTTCCTTTTGTCTAGTTGATTTTCAATGTATTCAGGCCACTAGGCTATTCTTTCTTTATTTAAAAAAAAATTCTATAAATCCCATGATTTTTTTTTTTCCCCAAAAAATGTATTCAAAGACTGAATTCTCAGCCTCGTCCTGGTGTTCGGGATAAAGTGAAGTAGGAGTTTGTTTAAAAAAAAAAAAAAACATACTTCCATAACACACACAGGGATTAAAGATTTTCAAAATGTTGGTTTTCATTTTTAGGTTTAAGAAGTTCGATCACAAGTATTTACGGAAAATCTTAATCCGAAAGAACCAGCCCAAATCCAGCATTGTCTCCTTGTACAAGAAGCTGGAAATGAAACAAGCTATCGAGATGGTGGAAACCGGGATTCTCAGTTCCACAGCCTTTTCCATACCCCACCAGTAAGTACAACATGCCCTTTGATCTGGACTTTACACATCAGAATTCCTAAGAGCACTAACTCATTGTTCAATTTAGAGATAATATACTAGGAGTGAAGAGGCAAAAATTTGAAGGAGGAATCATGATAGATGAATGACCTAAGTCTGTACTTTGGCCCATGCTCAGCCTCTCTCACCCCGTTTCTGAACATTACTTTTCTAGCCAAAATTGCGTGCAAGAGTTGTATGATACCTTTCCTTGGAAAGGAGGGCAAATGAATTATGGTTTACAAGACTTTTTCTCTCTCTTTTTGATTAATTTCTACCCTTTCACCCCTGTTCATTTGATTTTGCTAATCATACACTAATAATAATATGCATTTCTCCCATAAGTCATTTCTCTTCCTCTCTTGCATGAGGAGAGACCCCATCAGCATTTTGTGATGCTAGCTGGGATTCAGGGTTGGAGTGGTGGTAACAGGAGGTAGGGTGATTGGTGGGCTGGTAAAATTTACCCCTCCCTCCACAAGGATGTTCCGATTTCTTTCAAGAAGCAGTTTATGAATTAAGAAAATTGCAGCATATTTAGGATAAACAACACCTCCATCCTGTCATCTTCTATAGGTAGGTAGTTGATCATGAACTTCAATTGTGTTCTCAATGTTTGGAAAGCAGGTTGAGATAAGAGCTAAGAACAGATAGCAATAAAATTGTCACTAATGCCAGAGTGTTATCTCACATCCCTTAGGTGCTAATGAGTCAGAAACACCCTTCCCTTTCTTCTATGGCCTGGGAAGAATCTCAAGTAGGGTCCCTGAGAATATCTCCATATAAACAGAAAAGTTTCTGTCTTATTTCTCGGTGAGACTGTTTTCATGCTGCTTCGTTGCATGGCTTGCTTTAAGGAAACTTTTTCTTTTCTTTTCTTTTCTTTTTTTTTAAGGAAACTTTTGATACTGAACTGGCAATGTGCTAACAAATATTTATTGGCAATGCCGTACGGAGCCATATTAAAGCCTAAGGCAGAAGAAAAAAATCAGTAATATCAATCCCGTCTTTATTCATTTAAAATGTTGATATTTTATTCCTCATGATTTTTTTTTTCTTTTCTGCACTGACCCTTTTTCCTAAAATATTGCATTTGCATCCCCCTTAACTTGATTGAACTTTTTTGGCATCATCTTAGGCCCAACCTGTAATAACTCACCAATTATGTGCTGGGAACTATAAAGCAGACACAGTCACTGGCCTCATGAAGTTCCTACCCTAGCAGAGTCATGGCATCAATAAGAAAGGCCTCACAAACATACATTTGTGAAGTCTAGGGAGCTAGGAGAGTGTAAGAGGTGGCCCTTTGGTCCCCAGGCATTAGACCTGCTTACTGAAGGGTGAATGGGAGTTCATGCACTGCAGGAGGGCTGGTAGGTTGAGGCACTTTAGGCCATTAGGAACTTCCTCAATCTGTTTGCTTACTAGTTATGTGAGCTCTTGGTCTAAGAATGTAAGGGTGCTTATCTCAAGTGAGAATCAGTCTGTCATGTGCTAAAACATATTTGCAATCTCTGTATTACATTGCATTAGTTGTAAGCAGTGGCCCCGTCTCTAACCTCAAGGCAGTTTTCAAGCCAGCTTTATTTGGGGGGAGTCTTTC